CCCACCCGCCAGTTCGTGATGGTGCCCAGGTCCACCTCCCAAGTGTGGAAACCGGTGGAGAAGCCGCAGGAGCCCAGGATGCAAGGGGCTGAGGTGAAGCGCTCCGGGTTCTCCACCAGCAGCTTGTAGCCCCCGTTGGTGACGCTGGCGAGGTCCTCGGACACCGAGAGCCAGCCTGCCGCGGAGTTGGGGTCGAAGCTGAAGGGGACTGCAGGGGGACACACACACACGGGTGTTAGGAGCCCGCGTCGCCCCAGGGACGAGCTTGAGGATGGGCTCCAGCCTTACATCTACCCATCCTTTCCTTTCTGGGGACAACCCAAGGAGAAACGGGCCTGCCAGGGCTTCCCTTTTGGGGTGCAAGTGCCCCAGAAGACCTTTGATGCTCTCCAACCCCCTTCCCCAGGCCCATCAGCCTCAAGCACGGCTGCTCCATGCTCCTCTTCCTTCCAGCACCTACCACTCCTGGGGCTGCCCCACGCAAAGGCTGCTTTAGCCCCTGGGATGACCACCCTTTGGGGGACACACACACACACCCCCAGCACCTCACCTACGGTGATGATGTCCAGCATCTTCTTCCACACGTTGTACTGCAGCGAGCCCAGGTACTTGGCGACGTCGAGGAGCATCCCCGAGGGCACAGCCTCCGGCTCCTCAGCCGTGCAGGCGATCCTGGGGCAGGTTCGGAGGATGGAGACAGGTTGAGGACGGAGGTAGGGACCGGGCTGGGTGTCCTGGCACCCCTGTGTTTTGGCAGGGGCTTCCCCCCCAGCACCCCCCATCTCCCAAACCTTGCTCTCGCCCCAGGAGGGTGGTGAATCACCCCAGGAGGCTCCCAGCACCAAATCTCCTCAACATTGGAGTCTTAGTGCTTCCCTCAAGACCTGCAATGCTGCTTTGTGTCTGCACGCCCCCCCCGACCCTGCTCAGAGGCACCCAGGGGTGCTGCCTGGCCTTGGGGACCCCCAGCACCTTCTTCTGCCACAGCACCCGGACCCAGAGGGGACACACGGGTGTGGGAACTTGCTCAGGGCAGAAACCTCACGCTGCAGCCAGGCAGGAGCCCCCCGTTCAGCCTGAG